TCTCGGGTTAGTCATGGGAGGGTTGGGTGGGAATGTGACCGTACAGAGAAGGTTGAGCCACGAATGACCCTTACGAGGGTTAGGGAGGAAGGGTCAGAGGGTAAAGGGGCGGAATAATTAGTATCAGGGTAGGGGTCACGTGATTGTCTGTTCAGCCGACGGGAAACGAGATTTCTCTTCTTCGCAAGCTCCGAAGAGAACTATGTTTCCCGTCTATTTCACAGACAAACACACACAATTAGGGTAGTGAGCTCACCGTCACGATGCAAAAGGATAGCATCTCTGTGTATACCTTTGTACACAGAGAGACAAGATGACCGGGAGGGAAAGAATGATGATGAGGTGGGAGAACCGGCTGGGCTAATCTAAATATGATAAATGTAAAGTACTGGAGTAACGGAACTGGTTCGATAATAAAAAGACAGCTCTTCGGAACAAGGGAGTCATACGTGTAAGGAAACAACATGTAGGATTAACACGCAGAAGTAAGTTAATGTTCAGAGTCACGGAAGTACAACTGATGACGACTTCAGGTGGTAACGACTCCTGGCGATGACGACTGGCGGTAACGACTGAGTTCGAAGTGTTCGAGAGGTCATGTCCGTTCTGTGCGCTTGCACAAGACGAGCTACAAATCTGCCTTAGTCACAAGTTCAAGTATACAAGGTGATTCAGTCCTGACTGGAGCGATGAACCGCACAGCATCAGTCCCAGGTCCACACGTATGGCTGCCACTGCAGGTTACGCTTCGCTGAACCAAGGTCACGATGAAACATACAGTACTACGAAGCAGTCCGGTCATGCTGGTTCGTACATTAAACTCGGCGGGGAAAAGTCCAGCGTCCCGCATGCAGTGATCCACGCTGGGGTCCCTTAGTCCTACCTCGACAAGGTGTCAACGCGTCTACACAAGGAACGTCCGATAGAACTTCACGTACGTCCGCGCGGCGGAAGGAACTTCGTGGTGGAACTTACGTTCACCCGCACGGGGGGTTGAACTTCGATGGGCCTTACGTTCACCCGCACGGGGGGTTGAACTTCGATGGGACTTACGTTCACCCGCACGGGGGTGGAACTTCCCATGTATCAACAACGTGTCCACAGGGGGGATATGCATGCACATAGCCATGTGACGAGGAGCACACGGGGCACACGGGGATCACATCTCAAAGGCACACGGGGAGCACATCGCAATTCAACGTCACACACATAACGTTACTAGTAACCTGTCAGGACATGGGGTAGGGGGGTAAAGGCAAAATGGGGGAGGAAGGATGGGGTGGGGGGATAGAACAAGGAGGGGTAGGGACTGAGGGGGAGGATGTTCCCAGGAACATGCTATGCCAGACTGGAATCTGCGAATAAGGAAGCAATCAGGTCGTCAAAACAGCTTCAGACCGGTGGTGGTAGATCATAAGAGAGAGCTGTAATGTGTAAACAGCTGTTGGTAAAGGCGGCAATATCGAACAACTGTCTTGTGGGCGACCGGAAGGACATCACGTCACTATGTACTATTCGCAAAAGGGGGAAGCATTAGTTCCTCCCGTGTGCAGCAGACTAGTCGTAAAAGGGGGAAACATAATTAATACGTGACGTAATTCGGCACAACTGCGTCTACGAAATTGAAAAAACGATGAGATCAATGCGTTCAATGCAAAAAACAAGAGAGTGTACAAACACAAGAACGACTCGCTACTACTACATGTACTAGCATATGAGTATGAAGGGGGCGGGTGTGAGTCATGTGCACATGTCAAGATCTAGGGTGGGAGTTGGCTAGTAGGGGGAAACGGGGTCGGGGGTCGGTCGGGGGTGGATGGGACGGAAAAACAAGGCGAGGTGAGGACATGAGAGGTAGGGTCCGAGGTAAGGATCATATACAACGTGGGCGCACCAGACATGTAGTGAGAAACCAATCGAACAGTCAGGACAGCCCATCAGACAACAAATGCTGGAAGAGTGAGTGTAGAAAACTGTGAATCACGTGGGAGTAGGGCAGTTAGCACATTAATAACTGACCTAGCCAACCAGTCTATCAAAACAAAAACAAAACAAACAAAACGAGGAGGTTGTAACCGATCAAGGATGGGTACTATATACGGGAAGAAAGTCAGGAAGTTTGTTGGTTAATCAAGAGGTAATAGCCTGGAATCCTGAAGGCAGAGCGGAGGAACGGAGCGGAGACACAGCGTTCACGGATGGATTCCAGGCTAGAGGGTTTGGGGTGGAAGGGGATATTACGTTCATAACATCGCAACGTTCCCACGGGTGGGTGGTCTGGAAGAGAAAAGGCTAGGCGGTCAACTGTAACAGACAGGAAGAGGGAATAGCCTGGCTGTCATTAACGCAGCGGGAGGTAAGGAAGTGCGCTGTCCTCGAGTGACACCTCGTGGTGGGAACGTCTCTGTTGAAGGAAGAATGTGTAAATAGCCTGAGCGCAAACTAGGAAATGCAAGGAATTTAGAAGCGTTACTAGAGTAGTACACATGCAGGACCACACGCAAAGAGATCTATGAACGCCCATGATGCAGTAACCTCCTGTGGTAAAAAAATAAGCAGCAGTATTGTAAAACCGGTTATGATAGTACATTAAACGAGAAGACAACAAAGGCCAACAAAATACAGACAACGGGGGGAACATGGAAAGGAGTGGGGAAAACCTGCTACAGAATTTCCATCGTCAGGCGGGCGGGGGTAGCCAGTGGGGTCCGAGCTCGAGGTGGTCCGTTCTGCCGAGCCGATGGGGACTTGGCGGTAGTTCTGGTGTAGAGGTCAAGATCCATGGCGGAATAATCAACTTACGTGGAACGCGAACGTCTACACAAAGAAACAGTCAGAGAGACGGGAATCCACACGAGCAGAAGTACAGGGTGAAGTTATCCAGTAACCAGCGGAAGAAGCCGAGGGGAAATTGTAACTACACACGCTTGGGACAAATGTGATCGGGAGCCAAACTAATGTGACCGTACAGAGAAAGGTTGAGCCACGAATGACCCTTCGAGGGTTAGGGAGGAAGGGTCAGAGGGTAAAGGGGCGGAATAATTAGTATCAGGGTAGGGGTCACGTGATTGTCTGTTCAGCCGACGGGAAACGAGATTATTCCTGCCGTATCCGAGTCCAAACCTATGTAGAATGCAATTTCAATTTTCTGCTCTTAAAGTGTACTGCAATCTTTGATTTCATCTTTGTGCCTAGCACACTGACAATTTCATCCCGTTGGTTTTCTAACAGAGAAAGAAATCTGCTATGCATGGGGAGACCCACACACCTGTACCCCTGACGGAAGGGTATATCACTTCCAGGGTCCGTGCAGATACACGTTCGCCAAGGATTGCCTAAATGGCGATTTTAATGTAGAAGTTCAACAAGTACCATCACACTGGAGGCCAACCGTTTCACTTGTGCGAGAAGTGTACGTCATGGCATACGGATACACAATAACTATTAAACAAGGCAGAGTTGTGACGGTGAGCATCTGTTTGTTTGTTTGTTTGTCTGTTTGTTTGTTTGTTTGTTTTGTTTGACAGCGCAAGCGAATGTTCTACGTAATATTTGTTTGTAAAATGGATGTTGTTTCTAACCGGGTGAATTTCAGGGTTGGAGAAATCGTTTAGCTGTAGACATATGTCAGGTTCACAGTAGACAATTTCAAAATTTACAGTATCCACGCCGAAACTGTATGACAAAAGCATCTCTTGTAATGTTTGAGATTTTGCAACCTAGAACGCTCCAAGATTTTGAATCTACACATCCGTTAGCTATGCTTTACTACCGCCTCTGTCTTTAAATAACAAACTGTTCGTTTTCCTCAAACAAGGTGGACCCCCCACCGCCTCCCTCGCCTGCCACGCTCCCCTTCAGCCTAGCAGGTGGCAATATCGTGGTCAGGCTGAGCGGCAGGTTTGTCCGAATAGAGTTGACAGCATTGTGCGTGGTGATTTTCTACGATGGAAGTCACCACATTAAGGTGAGCACATTATACATAGCTTCATTCTGACTTGTTATGAAGAGACTATAATGATTTTATTTTCATTTTGGCATGTTTCATGATGGCAGATTATAATTACTGGTAATAGGTCCTTTTATATAATGTAGGTACTTACGGAAGATGCGTAATACTGTCGTAACACCACATTACGGATAGCTTTGTTCTGTCTCGTTTTCAAAATGGTTTGTGGAATTCCTTATTGATACGGTAATTACGATGGATGATGGCTGTAACTAATATTTTTATGCGCGATTCTTTTTTGACCCGACAAAGCATGCAGTGACTTTTGTGTGGTATTCTACAACTAAAGATCTAAAAAAAGTTAAATACATGTAACGTCATCCTACGTACAGACTATTATGTATGTATACAACAAATTACGTACAGAATATATTTCAGTGGTAACAATAAATGTTGAACTATTCTCTAACATGTAGTCTCTAAGATTGAAGCATTCAATTCTTCAATATATTTCCCTATTTTATCACTGTATTGGTTATCTCCCCTGAGAATGTTATTATATTTATCTAAAGGATCTAACGTGTTGAAATCAGTTGCACAAGCGGAAAAAACTGAATAGCAATAGGCGCTTATCATAGTAGAGTGTACATTTCATTCTAAAAATCGTTATGGCCCTTATGTAATAAATTAGGTATTCAAGAGGAATCCTTATGTTCTTCTAACACCTCTATAGGCGGAGATTCCAAGTAACTATAAGAGCAACCTGTGTGGACTGTGCGGTAACTACAACGGTATAGCGAGCGATGACTATTTGATGCCGGATGGGACACTCGCCTTGAACTGGAACGATTTCGGGAATAGCTGGGAGGTCACCAGCGAATCGTATGTTACGTTTTGTAAATACTGGCTATATTAAAATAACTTATATCTAAACATGTCTATTTACAAAAATCAAAAGTAAAAGAAATAATTAAATTGTTAACTGCCTGTCTTTCTTAAGTTTAAAGGTGACCATCTGACTGATGAACCCATGTTTCAAGGACCATTTGACCTGACGAGTTTGTGTGATGTGCTTATATATCTAGATACTATAATCAAACCGGTCGTCTGCTGTTTGCCATGCATATGTAGATTCTTTTTATACTGCCAAGTCTGCGACTTCGACGTATGTGCAGCAGGAGGAGAGATTGTGCCCTGACCCATTAAAAAATCAATTTCTGTATAGATCTGTTAACAAATCAATGACGAAAAGATAGAAGCAAGTATATATATAGTAATGAAAAATCCAGCTGATGTTTCTCTCCTGTCTTCCTCAGTTGTCAGGGTGACCGTCCGACCGGTGAACCCCCGACACAAGGACCGTGTGACCCGGTGTTTTCGGACCAGTGTAATGTGCTTACAGATACAAACGGCCCGTTTGCTGAATGCCATGGTTTCGTAGATCCTGGGACATACTTGGAAACCTGCGTCTTCGACATTTGTGAAACGGAAGGAGCTATCTTTTGTGAGAACCTGGAGACGTATTATGACGCTTGTCTGGCTGCAGGCGGGACTCCCTTTGATTGGCGGACGCCAACCAATTGTCGTAAGTTCGGTTCTTAGACCCAACTTATTATGTGTTTCAGAGGATCTAACATATTTCTTTAGAAGAGACAACATGGACAACCTCCATTTTTGTAGACCATATCCTCATGTAGATGTAGCTGTAGTTCTGGTTTGCCAACAACTGTAGCGATTTTTTTCGACAGCTATGGATTGCCCAGCAAACAGCGCATACTCTCCATGCACAACCGCCTGTCCTGCGAGCTGTCCAGACCCCAACCCCACCTGTACTGAGGCTTGTGTAGAAGGCTGCGTGTGCAATGATGGTTTCATACTAAGTGGACTGGAATGCGTCCCCCTTGCCGACTGTGGTTGCATAGACGAAAATGGGTTCTATCATGCAGTAAGTTTTAAGCCGAAAGACTAAATGATGTCGGCCGACATTAACAACATAATCAAGTTCTCTTTGTCAAAATGTGATTAGGTTTTTATGATGAAATAGGCAAATAGTGTGTAACAAATCGTTATTTAAAAGTAATATGGACAAACTCTGTGTGTCAAAATGCCAAAATGTGTGTGTTTTCTTCATTTAAATAAAGAGTGTTGGACTTGTCACACTGTCAACCAACCCATTTTGTGATTCATTAGGTAAAGTGGTGCCTTTGTTTTAACAATTTTCGTTTCTTTATTTCTAGCTCGGAGCACAATGGGGAACACCAGACGGAAGACGATGCGAATGCACTGTGGGAGGGAACATCGAATGTGAGCAAGTGTCCTGTGATGAAGCTGCAGGTTACAGCTGGACCCTCGTGGATGGAGTATGGGGCTGCAACTGCGTTGACTCCTGCTGTGGTTAGATATAGTTACTATCTTTTCTTTGTTAATTGGACTCGCTGTCTTTTTTATTTCTTCTGATTTTTTAATATAGATGGAATAAAAAAATCAACGACCCCAAAAACGTTAATGCGAGAATGCAAGGAGCTACATGTAATATCATATTCAAGTGCAATGTAAACCTGCGAAAAAAATTATATAGCATTTTTGGGTATTCAATACAAAGACTCTGCTATGTTATAAAAGAAAATAACAACATGACCAGGCATAATGTCGTTCCGAGCCCTCGTCTTTACAACGATTTACATCCTAAGCAGCAAAGTCGGCTAGAGATTAAGTTGTCTCAATTCTTCTAGACACATGCAGACGCGCAGTACAATACCACAGTTGTTTGAAATATTTACAAATTGTGTTTTTTAATGGGGAATAGAGCAAACGCTTTATCAACTTGACTTTACAAAACTATGGTATTCGTGCCGTATCCGAGTCCAAACCTATGTAGAATGCAATTTTCTGCTCTTAAAGTGCACTGCAATCTTTGATTTCATCTTTGTGCCTAGCACACTGACAATTTCATCCCGTTGGTTTTCTAACAGAGAAAGAAATCTGCTATGCATGGGGAGACCCACACACCTGTACCCCTGACGGAAGGGTATATCACTTCCAGGGTCCGTGCAGATACACGTTCGCCAAGGATTGCCTAAATGGCGATTTTAATGTAGAAGTTCAACAAGTACCATCACACTGGAGGCCAACCGTTTCACTTGTGCGAGAAGTGTACGTCATGGCATACGGATACACAATAACTATTAAACAAGGCAGAGTTGTGACGGTGAGCATCTGTTTGTTTGTCTGTTTGTTTGTTTGTTTTGTTTGACAGCGCAAGCGAATGTTCTACGTAATATTTGTTTGTAAAATGGATGTTGTTTCTAACCGGGTGAATTTCAGGGTTGGAGAAATCGTTTAGCTGTAGACATATGTCAGGTTCACAGTAGACAATTTCAAAATTTACAGTATCCACGCCGAAACTGTATGACAAAAGCATCTCTTGTAATGTTTGAGATTTTGTCAACCTAGAACGCTCCAAGATTTTGAATCTACACATCCGTTAGCTATGCTTTACTACCGCCTCTGTCTTTAAATAACAAACTGTTCGTTTTCCTCAAACAAGGTGGACCCCCACCGCCTCCCTCGCCTGCCACGCTTCCCTTCAGCCTAGCAGGTGGCAATATCGTGGTCAGGCTGAGCGGCAGGTTTGTCCGAGTAGAGTTGACAGCATTGTGCGTGGTGATTTTCTACGATGGAAGTCACCACATTAAGGTGAGCACATTATACATAGCTTCATTCTGACGTGTTATGAAGAGACTGTTTTGATTTTTTTTCTTTATTTTGGCATATTTCATGATGGCAGATTATAATTACAGGTCATAGGTCCTTTTATATAATGTACGTACTTACGGAAGATGCGTAATACTGTCGTAACACCGCATTACTAATAGCTTTGTTCTGTCTTGTTTTCAAAACGGTTTGTGGAATTCCTTATTGATACGGTAATTTCGGTGGATGATGGCTGTAACTAATTATTTTTATACGTGATTTCTTTTTGACCCGACAAAGCATACAGTGACTTTTGTATGGTATTCTACAACTAAAGATCTAAAAAAAGTTAAATACATGTTACGTCATCCTACGTACAGACTATTATGTATGTATAAAACAAATTACGCACAGAATATATTTCAGTGGTAACAATAAATGTTTGAACTATTCTCTAACATGTAGTCTCTAAGATTGAAGCATTCAATTCTTCAATATATTTCCCTCTTTTAACACTGTATTGGTTATCTCCCCTGAGAATGTTATTGAATTTATCTAAAGGATCTTACATGTTTAAATCAGCACAAGCGGAAAAAAAACTGAACAGCAAAAGGCGCTTATCATAGTAGAGTGTACATTTCATCCTAAAAAACGTTAAGGCCCTTGTGTACCAAATTAGGTATTCAAGGGGAATCCTTATGTTCTTATAACACCTCTATAGGCGGAGATTCCAAGTAACTATAAGAGCAACCTGTGTGGACTGTGCGGTAACTACAACGGTATAGCGAGCGATGACTATTTGATGCCGGATGGGACACTCGCCTTAAACTGGAACGATTTCGGGAACAGCTGGGAGGTCACCAGCGAATCGTATGTTATGTTTTCTGAATACTGTCTATATTAAAATAACTTATATCTAAACATGTCTATTGACAAAAATCAAAAGTAAAAGAAATAATTAAATTGTTAACTGCCTGTCTTTCTTAAGTTTAAAGGTGACCATCTGACTAATGAACCCATGTTTCAAGAACCATTTGACCTGACGAGTTTGTGTGATGTGCTTATAGATACTATGACCAAACCGGCAGTCTGCTGTTTGCCATGCATATGTAGATCCTTTTTATACTGCCAAGTCTGCGACTTCGACGTATGTGCAGCAGGAGGAGAGATTGTGCCCTGACCCATTTAAAAATCAATTTCTGTATAGATCTGTTAACAAATCAATGACGAAAAGATAGAAGCTAGGATATATATAGTAATGAAAAATCCAGCTGATGTTTCTCTCCTGTCTTCCTCAGTTGTCAGGGTGACCGTCCGACCGGTGAACCCCCGACACAAGGACCGTGTGACCCGGTGTTTTCGGACCAGTGTAATGTGCTTACAGATACAAACGGCCCGTTTGCTGAATGCCATGGTTTCGTAGATCCTGGGACATACTTGGAAACCTGCGTCTTCGACATTTGTGAAACGGAAGGAGCTATCTTTTGTGAGAACCTGGAGACGTATTATGACGCTTGTCTGGCTGCAGGCGGGACTCCCTTTGATTGGCGGACGCCAACCAATTGTCGTAAGTTCGGTTCTTAGACCCAACTTATTATGTGTTTCAGAGGATCTTACATACTTCTTTAGAAGAGACCACATGGACAACCTCCATTTTTGTAGACTATATCCTCATGTGAATGTAGCTGTAGTTCTGGTTTGCCAACAACTGTAGCGATTTTTTTCGACAGCTATGGATTGCCCAGCAAACAGCGCATACTCTCCATGCACAACCGCCTGTCCTGCGAGCTGTCCAGACCCCAACCCCACCTGTACTGAGGCTTGTGTAGAAGGCTGCGTGTGCAATGATGGTTTCATACTAAGTGGACTGGAATGCGTCCCCCTTGCCGACTGTGGTTGCATAGACGAAAATGGGTTCTATCATGCAGTAAGTTTTAAGCCGAAAGACTAAATGATGTCGGCCGACATTAACAACATAATCAAGTTCTCTTTGTCAAATGTGATTAGGTTTTTATGATGAAATAGGCAAATAGTGTGTAACAAATCGTTATTTAAAAGTAATATGGACAAACTCTGTGTGTCAAAATGCCAAAATGTGTGTGTTTTCTTCATTTAAATAAAGAGTGTTGGACTTGTCACACTGTCAACCAACCCATTTTGTGATTCATTAGGTAAAGTGGTGCCTTTGTTTTAACAATTTTCGTTTCTTTATTTCTAGCTCGGAGCACAATGGGGAACACCAGACGGAAGACGATGCGAATGCACTGTGGGAGGGAACATCGAATGTGAGCAAGTGTCCTGTGATGAAGCTGCAGGTTACAGCTGGACCCTCGTGGATGGAGTATGGGGCTGCAACTGCGTTGACTCCTGCTGTGGTGAGATATGGTTACTATTTTTTTACTATTTTTGGTTAATTGGACCCCTGCCTTTTTTAAATTTCTTCTCATCTTTTAATGGATAGAATAAAAAACGACCCCATGCAGAAATGTTACTGTGAGAATGCAAGGAGTTACATGGAATATCATATTCAAGTGCAATGTAGACCTGGGAAAAAAGTATATAGCATTTTTAGGTATTCAATACAAAGACTGTCTTTTTGTTTTAGCCTCTGAAATAAAAGAAGATAACAACATGACCTGGCATAATGTCCTTCTGAGCCCTTGTCTTTGCAACGATTTACATCCTAAGGAGCAAAGTCGACTAGAATTTGAGTTTATTCAATTCTTCTTGGCTTCACAACTGAAGGCTAATACAGTAAATGTTATTGTATTCTTTTCATATCTCTGGAATGTTTTACTTTACATTTTGTTTTGTTCTTTTGCGCCCAACTCAGATTATAGGCATGATTTCATCTTTGTGCCTAGCACACTGACGATTTCATCCCGTTGGTTTCCTAACAGAGAGAGAAATCTGCTATGCATGGGGAGACCCCACACACCTGTACCCCTGACGGAAGGGTATATCACTTCCAGGGTCCGTGTAGATACACGTTCGCCAAGGATTGCCTAAATGGCGATTTTAATGTAGAAGTTCAACAAGTACCATCACACTGGAGGCCAACCGTTTCACTTGTGCGAGAAGTGTACGTCATGGCATACGGATACACAATAACTATTAAACAAGGCAGAGTTGTGACGGTGAGCATCTTCGTTAATTGTTGTTGTTTTTTTGTTTGACAGCGGAAGTGAATGTTTTACTTGCTATTTGTTTGTTAAAAGGATGTTGTTTCTTTCAGGTTGAATTTAAGGGTTGGAGGAATAGTTAAGCTGTAGGCATATTTTAGGTTCATAGTAGACAATTTCCACGTTTACAGTACCCATGCCGAAACTGTATGACAAAAGCATCTCTTGTAATGTTTGATATTTTGCAACCTAGAACGCTCGAAGATTTTGAATCAACGCATCCTTTATTTATGCTTTACTACCGCCTCTGTCTTTAAATAACAAACTGTTCGTTTTCCTCAAACAAGGTTGACCCCCCACCGCCTCCCTCGCCTGCCACGCTTCCCTTCAGCCTAGCAGATGGCAATATCGTGGTCAGGCTGAGCGGCAGGTTTGTCCGAGTAGAGTTGACAGCATTGTGCGTGGTAATTCTCTACGATGGAAGTCACCACATTAAGGTGAGCACATTATACATAGCTTCATTCTGACTGGTTAAGAATATTTTTTTTCATTTTGACATGTTTCATAATGTCAGATTATAATTACTGGTAATAGGTTCTTGTATATAATGTAGGTACCTTACGGAGGATGCGTAATACTGTTGTAACGTCATGTTACAGATAGCTTTGTTCTGTCTTGTTTTCAAAATGGTTTGTGGAATTCCTTATTGATACGGTAATTACGATGGATGACGGCTGTAACTAATTTTTTAAACATGATTCTTTTTTGACCCAACAAAAGCATACAGTGACTTTTCTATGGTTTTCTACAACTAAAGATATAAGAAAGCTAAATATGTGTAGCGTCATCCTATGTACAGAATATTATGTATGTATACAACAAATTACATACAGAATGTGTTTAAGTGGTAACAATAAATGTTGAACAATTCTCTAACATGTAGTCTCTAAGATTGAAACATTCTTCAATGTATTTCCCTATTTGAACACTGTATTGGTTATGTCCCCTGAGAATGTTATTTAATTGATCTAAACGTTCTAATGTATTGAAATCAGCTGCACAAGCGGAAAAAACTGAACAGCAATATGCGCTTATCCTAGTAGAGTGTAAATTTCATTCTAAAAAACGTTAAGGTCCTCATGTACCAAATTAGGTATTCAAGGGGAGTCATGATGTTCTTATAACACCTCTATAGGCGGAGATTCCAAGTAACTATAAGAGCAACCTGTGTGGACTGTGCGGTAACTACAACGGTATAGCGAGCGACGACTATTTGATGCCGGATGGGACACTCGCCTTGAACTGGAACGATTTCGGGAACAGCTGGGAGGTCACCAGCGAATCGTATGCTACGTTTTGTAAATACTGGCTATATTAAAATAACTTATATCTAAACATGCCTATTGACAAAAATCAAAAGTAAAAGAAATAATTAAATTGTTAACTGCCTGTCTTTCTTAAGTTTAAAGGTGACCATCTGACTGATGAACCCATGTTTCAAGGACCATTTGACCTGACGAGTTTGTGTGATGTGCTTATAGATACTATGACCAAACCGGCCGTCTGATGTTTGCCATGCATATGTAGATCCTTTTTATACTGCCAAGTCTGCGACTTCGACGTATGTGCAGCAGGAGGAGAGATTGTGCCCTGACCCATTAAAAAATCAATTTCTGTATAGATCTGTAAACAAATCAATGACGAAAAGATAGAAGCAAGGATATATATATATAGTAATGAAAAATCCAGCTGATGTTTTTCTCCTGTCTTCCTCAGTTGTCAGGGTGACCGTCCGACCGGTGAACCCCCGACACAAGGACCGTGTGACCCGGTGTTTTCGGACCAGTGTAATGTGCTTACAGATACAAACGGCCCGTTTGCTGAATGCCATGGTTTCGTAGATCCTGGGACATACTGGGAAACCTGCGTCTTCGACATTTGTGAAACGGAAGGAGCTATCTTTTGTGAGAACCTGGAGACGTATTATGACGCTTGTCTGGCTGCTGGCGGGACTCCCTTTGATTGGCGGACGCCTACCAACTGTCGTAAGTTTGGTTCTTAGACCCAACTTATTATGTGTTTCAGAGGATCTTACATATTTCTTGAGAAGAGACCACATGGACAACCTCCATTTTTGTAGACTATACCCTCATGTGGATGTATCTGTAGTTCTGGTTTGGCAACAACTGTAGCGAATGTTTTCTTTTCGACAGCCTTGGATTGCCCAGCAAACAGCGCATACTCTCCTTGCGCAACCGCCTGTCCTGCGAGCTGCGCAGACCCCAACCCCACCTGTACTGAGGCTTGTGTAGAAGGCTGCGTGTGCAATGATGGTTTCATACTAAGTGGACTGGAATGCGTCCCCCTTGCCGACTGTGGTTGCATAGACGAAAATGGGTTCTATCATGCAGTAAGTGTCACGCCGACACCCTGAATATGCCAACCTATATTCTAAATATAAAAAAAGTGTATATGCTTATTTTGATGTATGAATCAAATCTTAGATAAGTGTTTCCACCGTGTCATCCTAAAAAAAACTAAATTTACGGTGATAAAAAAGTTGGTATATACTTGATTTTTTTTTCAAAAAGACGATGACGCTGTCACGATTTTGTTCTTGGACATGTTGTCTGGAAAGAATGAAAGTTCTTACTGAACATCCCATACTGTTTTTTATTACATTTTTATGCTGCTTTAGCTTGGAGAGGAATGGAGAGATGATGGCATGAAATGTACATGCACCGCAGATGGAATCGTCTGTGAACGTAAGAGAACTCATTACTAGTGGGAAAGACTATCACACTAAAGCACGACCTAACAGAGAAATTTCAACGAATGCTTAAATTATATTCCATACTTTTCTATTTTGCTCTTCCCACGAAGAATATAATTTACAAATGTCTAACAATATGGTATTTATTATGACTTCGTGATTCTGTCAATACCCCGATTCTCCCAATATCCTCTTTCAGTCTTAATCTTACGAATAACCCAAAAGGCACATAGGCGATAACATTATGTAACCTCTGTAAGCAAAAGAATGGTGAATGCATGAGTGGAATCGGATGTAAACGTAATAGTCTTCCTTAAAAGTCCAAGGATGCCAAAAAGTGATTTTATTTCTCTAACATTAAACTGAAGAGGTGTAATTATGGATAGATGCGTGATTGCCTGCATATGTTTATATTTTTATAGAGTTTTTTTGCATCGTTTGACATATTGAAGTTGTGATTAGATTATTTGTAGCCGTGCTTAGTGATAAATGTGTCATAAACATAACCAAAAACAGGACCTATAGTTTGAAGATTTCAACTATGGCCAGACTAACTTATCTCCTTAATATCCTCCATTTCCATAGCGTTGACCAGGACTGGTTGGTGCGATACGCCAGGTAGGTATCTACACTTGATTTGTAACCTTCATACTGCAAGAAAGCCCATCTTCCAGCACATCTTAAAGTATTCGTTAAGCTGGGGTCATATTTGAAACGGGGCCTGCTCGGCATGTTCTCGGAGTAGAGGCCGGCAGACGTCATGAAGCCGAGCCGAGCGTGCGCCATTTTCCGACAAAATCTATAATTTTGGGGTCCTGGAGACCTTGCATTACACTCATCTGGAATTTGGTATGGGTATGCTTTATATATTTACCAATAACAGTTCATAATATTTTTTTGAGTACTCTCCCTTTATCTTGTATAATTTGGGACTTCATTTTGAAATTAAATTGTTCAAGAGGGTGGAACAAAATACTGAACAAACATAATTGCTAGTGCAAATAGCTCAAGAAATACTTTCATTCGGCTTTCTTTCGGCACATGAATGCACACAGAATGCACATCTGTAATGCGTCTGTTGGTATAAAACGAAATGTCTACCTGTTGTATTGATATGGTTATCAAAATATCTTATATTCCATGATGTCTTGGGCTAATCTACATTAACATTGGCCATGCCTGAAGGTATATAAAAGTCTCTCAAACTTTGTGGAACTGTTTTTCTCAATCCAAAGCAACACACATTTCTCGATGTTATCAGAAAAAAATGTTACCAGGCTGAGCACTGCAGTTTTAAATGCCGGTTGCACTACATTTATTTGCAATGACCTTTATTGAACCTATAGCTAGCACACCAAGTATGCAGTTCTTTGAATAACAATTTCAATGTCATGTATGTTTGACAGGGAGAGGAATTTGCACAGCATGCGGAGATCCACACTATACTATGTTTGACGGGGGGCGTCACCACTACCAAGGCCGGTGCAGACACATCTTAGCCAAGGACTGCGGAGACAGCAACGACTTTACAGTGGAAGTACAACAAGTACCCGTACCTCGTAGGCCAGTTGTGTCTGTCGTGCGCGAGGTGTTCGTATTGGCACACGGGTACGAAGTCGGAATTCACCAGAGAAGGGTCGTGACGGTGAGGGGCATTTCCTTTTTTTTGCTGACTCAAAATAAGGTTATGATCTCGTTGCCAGCTCTATAGTACCTGACATCAGCATGAAAGTTCATCTGAGTTGGTAAATTACATTATGAAAAACTTAAACTTTTCTCCAACTCAAAATTTGACTCACCAGAAATTTTCGACTGAATCACTCAGTCTTCCTCAGCTATCTGACCCAAATGCTGTGGACACGTGATTTTTCCCACGTGTGACGTCAGCAAAGGGTCAAAGGTTGTCTGAAGTCGATATTTCTGGTGAGTCAAATCTATAGTACCTGTTTATACGTAACAAATGTACACAAAATACTTTTTTTATGCTGAACCCCTTTTATAGATAAGTGTATTGTTATCAGTGGAGATTTTTAAAAAAGATATCGTTAATTTCTATAAAGTGTTGTTTTCGAATATTTGCTTCCCGTGCTACATTGATCATGAGAGGAGGTGAACTGAACTGGTTTATCAAAATGCATTACATTAAACACTGGTACTGAATTGAAGAGTACTATTGTACATTCTAAAAAAAACATTAGGCTCAATATATATATCTTTTTGGTCACATAGTATTAAAGAGTTTAACACAATATGGCAAGGTCGTATTACTGTGCTAACCCCCTCCTCTCATTCCGGGTGGGTAGGTTTAGCAGGGCTTTAGCAAACCTAAGGCCACGCCGTCTTAATTTAATGGACGACATCCTCTAAAGACCCCAAAACTAGTGCGCGCGGGCGAATAAAAAATAAATAAAAATGCTACTAAACCGCTGGCATTATGAATTTGTGGCAGTACATAGCGACGTATACTACAAGCCGCCACATGCTGGCTTTTTGCGGAATTTATGAATCGGCCCTGTACGTATGTAATTCGCCTTCGACAGCCTGGGTGCCATCCTCCATAGTTACCACTGGCTCCGTAATGTCGCTAACTACCATGGACTACCCAGGCCTAGAACCAGGCCAGAGCCTCGGAGGACGTGATTTTTTTTTTGAGAACAGGCGAAAATCAATGCGCGCGCGGATGACATCCATAATATTAAGTCTGTGTGGCCTAAGGCAGTTTTCTTGTATACGGGGGGGGGGTATTATATGAATTGCATTATGAATATTATATTGAAATACAAGATTTTACATCGTCCTCTGAAATAACCTTTTAGGTGAACGGAGCGCCGCGCACTGTTTCCTTCTCACTGGCAGGTGGCCGGATCCGGGTCTCGTTCTATGGTAGGATGGTTCACGTGCAGCTGGTAGAGTTCTGTGTGGATATTTACTACGACGGAAGTCACTGTGTTGAGGTAAGCACGTTACTAACAATGGTGATTTCTAAGTTTAGTGTTTATAACTGTAGGTTTTGTGTCATTTGTGGTCCAGCTGTCATTTGAGAACGTTCCCTCAATCATGCTTTGGATTCAAATTGTCTATTTTAGGTATCTGTCAAAAGCCCCTGTCACACATTCACAACCTTCCCCACCACGTTAGGCTGACGTTATGTAGCTATATTTAGGCCTCACCTCGTACCTTTCTATTCAACAGATTTGAGTTGAATATGTGTCAAATTTGACACCGAACAAGCCCCGGATGATGCTGACTTGCTCTCGAATGGTTTGCTGGTGTTCTGCTGGCTTGCAGCCGAATACCATCCAACTATAGTCAAACCTCCCGAGAGACGACCAGTTCCTGAAAGTTTTAAACATTTTAAAAAACAGCCGACTTTCCGCTGGCCTACTCCTTACCATGGGACGTTTGGCTAGTCTTCGGAAGGCAAAATTCGTGAATATGTTACAGGGGCTATAGACTCAGTACTAGTAGACTATCTATTCAAGGTATCTATCCAATTGGAAGATAATGTGTTTTGACATGTTGCCACAGGTGAAGGTTACACCTTACTACTGGGATAGGATGTGCGGACTGTGTGGTAACTACAACGGCAACAAGGGCGATGACTACATGATGTCAGATCTGGTGACCATCGCTTCAAACTGGAAAGACTTCGGGTTTAGCTGGTTGGTCGAGGACGAAGACGAAAAGAGGTATTATGATAGTAATAGAAAGGATTTAATTTGATACTAACGACTTACTAAAGTTGAAACGTAGAAGCTTCTTCTGCTACCGAAAAGGATAGAAAGACACTTTCTTTTAGAACTGCAACTGCGAATTTCTACCACTGCGAACCTCAATATGTTTATGATGTTGCAGATATAGAAGTTATATAGTATAAAATCAACAGCTTTATCGGTTCAGTTTTATTGAATCTTTATTTTGTTTCCCTTTATTTTTCCTCCAACCTTGCAAGACGTTCGTTTGTCAAAAGAAGTCAATAGATGCTATCATTGATATTGCTGCATGGCGAGGTTTTATGTCAGCGCATACCTTAATTTTTTTTAGGATTTGGTTCAGAGTCAAGTTGACTGTCAAGTGGATCTATTAAAAGGGGTGTATAACTTGAGTGCAGTCACACGTTGTCCTTGCCCTTGTATTTTTCTTATAATGAAAAAAAGTAAAGGGCGGTCACGTAATCTAAAGGTTAAACGGTAAAACAGTAAAAGAGTAAATGATGTTTTTGTATATGTCTGTCATTAGCATTACATGTATAAATCGAGAACAATGTAATGTAAACTCAAGTGACAACTTATTCTGCTACGGCACACACAAAACAATAATAATTAGCTGTATATTGAGTAAAGTGCGGTCCCTCTCCTGTTGTTGTAATTGACGAAATGTCAATGAGTAAGAAAATGTGGTGCTTGACTTCTATATCTTTTTGACAGACATGTACCTCAGTCAAGTACAGCTAGAAGCAACTGGTGCATTCAATATAACATTATGTTTGTGTAATGATGAATTTTAACAGTCAACAAAATGTATTTAGATGAACCGCTGAGTAAAAGATGTAATCTATATGTTATCTGACATCCCCCTCCCTTAGTTGTGGAGGAGGAAAGAGCCCCGGACCGTGTCCAGAGGGATTGATGACACTTGTGTCGAATGATGGCAATTGCGGGATAATTACGGACCCTTCAGGCCCGTTTGCTGCCTGTCATGCTGCTGTGCCTCCTGCGGATTTCTTTGATGATTGCACCTTCGACATGTGTGCATATGGCGGCGACATCGTAGGGCTCTGTGATACCCTGGAGCAATATGCCCTTGTCTGTGAAGGCAACGGCGTGCACGTTACTTGGCGGACTTCGACCCTTTGTCGTTAGTTCGATTATTATTATTATTATTATCATCGTTATTATTATTATTATCATCGTTATTATTATTAATATTAGTAGTAGTAGTAGTAGTAGTAGTAGTAGTAGTAGTATTAAATCAAGTAGTAGTAGTAGTAGTAGTAGTAGTAGTAATAGTAGTAGTAGTAGTATTAAATCAAATTCCTTATCATAATTTTATTCAATTTAAAACTATTTTGATTGATCAAGTAAACTTCTAAAAATACAATATCCTACTTCAGTAGTACTACTAGTCTGATAGGCATAGAATAAAACTATTTTCCATAGCTAGAATCAACCTAATTTTCTATTTTCTTACAGCCTTGCCGTGTCCACCAAACAGTCATTACAACCCCTGCGCAAGTCCCTGTCCTCCGACCTGCCAGGATCCGAACCCCATCTGTATAGAAGTCTGTGTAGAATGCTGTGAGTGCGATGAAGGCTACATCATGAGCGGGCTGCACTGTGTCCTACCAGAAGACTGTGGCTGCATCGACCCGGTGACCGGTCGTTATTACGAGGTCAGGCAGTATTATCAAAATAATATAATAATCATAATAATGGTTTATTCGTCACGTATTCATTTGTACAGAATGGCAGGTGCCATGTAATTGGGACCTGAATTGCTTTGACAATTACATATTTACAATTGATTGATTAATAAAAAGTTACCACGCATTAAAATCACTATGCGTCAGTATTATTAATATAAAATACGTTATTAACAGATTATTCATTTAAAATATTAGATATGCACACAGGTACAGGCTGGGTTAACAGTGTCTTTGAACAATAAAATAAATACGTGTCAATCTCAGTGCCCATTCAATAGTCGCACGATATGCGGTATTGCACTGTAGTAGTCATATCCTTGTCTGTAACGATTGTCTTCAATGTAAGTCATCATTGTTTATATGCTTTTCCGTTGATTGTGCTGTACTTCTTGCCACCTATAGCTCGGAGAAACCTGGATAGAGGACGGCGAACGTTGTGTCTGCAAAGAAGATAACACCATCGAATGCAAAGGTATCGCAATTATGGTCCTGTAATTAGTATATTGTAATACGTTTTATGATTCATGTTCAAACTAGACATTTGTATCTGATTATAAATTTTTATGTGATAGGAATTCATGTCGGCATCTTATATGGAATGGTTGCTTAAAGTTAGCTTGTTTTATGTATTTTTATATATTTTTTTTTACATTTCAGAATGCGTATTTGACATCGTCTTCCTACTCGACCGTTCTTCGAGCATTGGACCTTATGGGATGTTCAACGCCAAAAAATTTATCACTTCTATAATCGAGTGTTTGAAGGACCTGGATGTTGACGTAATTATCACCCAAAGCTTGTAGAGCGCCTTTCCAACCTAGTTTCATTTTTACAGTGGTCGTTGCTTGTACTAAAAAGGCTTCAACCAATTGTTCAAACAATTTGAACTCTGTAATTAGTTTGTGCATTGTGTTCCTTACGTTTATATAGACATGTTAATTTCATCTGTGTCCTTTGTGTTCTTTTAGTATGCTACGTGTTATAAGTATGTTTTATCAATCCTGTGAGACTAGACAGGTTTGGCTCAACGGTATCGAAATAAGGACTACTAGTAAGATTGATTCTAATCTTCAGTATTAAATGGGTTATATTAGCTATGTTTTGTAGACGTTAGAGCTTGTAAAAATTCTATGATGATTCGGCATCAAAACCTAACTAGCACTGCACGAAAACTTAGATTTACCAATGGCAGTAAATACAAGTAAAGTCGGGTATGTTTACTTTAATTAATAGTTTTTTTAATAAACTCTACTGGAGTTTACAATGGTAGTAATTCTAAATCAAGTACGGTAATTCCGGACTTAACAAGAGTTGTCAATGAAATTACCGGACGTGACTTTTATTTACTACCATTGTAAAGTCTAGAAGTGTTTATTAAAAAAGTAAACATACCTGTACAAGTTATATACAAGTAAACATCACCTGAGTTTACTGTATTTGGTAAACCCTTTTCGTGCTGTGTAGTGTTGAAGGTTTGTTATCACCTTGGCATACAAGGTTTACATGACTAACAATATTTATCATTTAGAATGAACTCTGTCATAGAACAAAATTCCCATTTGTCGGTTGGACTTTGTAGGTTGGACAAATAACTTAAAATGACTTAAAATACTTATCATTTATAATCAGATGTGTCACAGAACAATATGTATTTGCCTTCGACGAGAAGGCTATAAAATCGTTTTGGCACTGTTTGGCAGATCATGCAAAATAACCCTTGAAGGAATAATCCGAGGTTCACGATTTTTTGCAGGCAGGTTGTCTTTGGGGTGGCCATTATCAAGTCCAAAAATGGGCTTCGTGGGGGGGTTCCTACGTGACTGCAGTTGTACCCTTTGTGTTTGTGATTGTGTTTCTAGGTTGGGTACATTTGTTTTGAGTGCATAACGAAGTGGCTGGTAAAACAGGGCCTCTACGACGTAAACGATCCTGCCATCATTCAACAAATCAAGGATGCTGAGTACACTGGGGGTGAGGGTCGAACCGGTCATGCTCTTCAACATTTGATACAGACGGTAAGGGCAGTGTTCTCCCTATTTTCTTGGTAGGAACCAGTAAATTATTATCTTTTAATATTCTAACGTTTATCACTAGCTCGCGAGACATGGCGATGGCACACTCAAGTTTTTTTTCAACTTTTTTATGCCGTCTCCAACGCAGATTTAAGATCACACATTTTTTCATCATGATTTAAAAAATACATTCTCTTGCCTTTCTTACCAGAAAACCGGTCCTTTCTGAGCAAAAGTTGTACAAAAAATATTTGGAAATTAAGTGAAAAAAATTAATCGTGTACAAAGTACAAGCTGATTATTAATAACTAATTCCTTCCCTGTACATTATCTATGATATAGGCCCGTCCGTGTCCTGTTGACAGTATATGACAGTTTTCTACATTTCAAAAACCGATGATACAGAATTAAGTGTCAAATTTGTATTACACATCTCTCCTGATATAGGGGCTATTTGAAATGCATTGGGTTTTCTCCCCAGAGCCATATACCTGGCAATACTCGATACTAATTGACCGTTTCTTTTTCAGGCCGAGTACCGAAAGAACGTCTCTAGTGTGGCAGTTGTACTGTCCGATGGTGATGTGCATGATCAGGTTAGCTTATATTCTTGCTAGTCATGTAATGATATAATTATTTAGCGTGCACGTATTAGGTAATATTTCAATGTTCTTTATTCTAATTCCACAAAGCCAGTGTTTCACCTTACAGGAATGGGGATGGTTGTACAAATATGTTGAGAAATGGAGGCAGACTATAGCCACACGAAGTTTTCACAATTTAAATATTGCAATTTCTGGTTAAATGAATGTCTTTATAATGCCCTCTTCAAACAATTTTCTTATAAACTTTTATTATTTGGCTTTTAAGAATCAATCCTTTACTATGAAATATGATAATAAAGTTTATTTCAATTTCTGTCCGAAGGCTAATTGCAAATAACAAAAGGATATTGAAAAAGAACACAAAATCACTACATAATGTACTATTAAAAGGCAATTACCTGAACTATGTAAAAAAAAAACTATGCCTGAAGGGTTTGACTGATGTTTTGTAAAATGAATTGAGGTAGTGTACGTGTAAATTACCATGTATATAGAAACATGCAATTCAGCATATCGCTGCTATATGTTTTGGTGAATATACCTTTCATTCATTCAACACTAGGGCAACACGCATGAAATCAACTCTGATGCAGCAAGGGCAGAGGGAATTGAATTGTACTCTGTACCAGTTGGAAGGGAAGCCCTGTTCAACTTCGGTGTACTTCAGTACATCGCCGGTGCCCCAGACCGAGTGTTCGACCAATTCAGCACTTGTGATCTTGCCATCAAGATAATGCAGGATGTGTGTGGTACGTATGGGGTTATATACGCCAAAAAGCAGTTACTCAAGCAATTGGATATGATTTTGGAACGTCAGATGTTTCAGCTAGTATCCACTAGCTTTCGTCAATGACTGGATACCAGAGGAGAAATGCAGGTTTAGAAGCACAAGCTATTCATTGATATGCAAATAAAATGAAGATAATTTTTGGATGTCCAAAACGGAACAAACGTCAGACAATTCAAGACAAGATTATGCTAAGTCAGAAAGCTCCTGGATACTAGCTGAAACGTCTGACGTTCCAAAATCATATCCAGTTGCTTGAGTAACTGCTTTTTGACGTATCTTATTACCTGGATGTCTAACCTTCATCGACGTATGGGGTTATATAGCTTGAACAAAGTAGAGGATTGTGGTAGATTGTAGTTCATATATATGAAGGGTATAATAATTGTTTTTCGTCTTGTAATTACCTTTTTTATTGTAAAAGTGGCTGCGAGACTATAAGTTGTGGCAAAGTTGAGTTCGCAGTCACTTAGTCTGTGCCTTTTTATCTGTACTTTTTTTCTGAATAAAGACTATTTTTCTGAATAGATAAAAGGATAGAAATAATCATTTAATGTAATTATAATACAAGAATGTTTTCAAACTATCACGCCTTGGCTACTATTGCAAAATTCAATTTTCTTATGCGGTTTGATAACAATGTATAAGAGGCAAGACCTTAAAGATGCCAAACTTCTGGATTAGAGTAGTTTTATAGCTTTTTTTCTCATTTCTTACTTCTCATCTTCACCAAATTACACTGCACGAAAAGTTGGATTTACCAAAGGTAGTAAACTCGGGTAATGTTACTGTGTTTAAACATCTACATCATATACAATAGTAGTAAATAAAAGTCACGTCCAGTAATTTCATTGACAACTCTTGTCAAGTCCGGAATTGCCGTACTTGACTTTTATTCACTACCATTGTAAAGTCCAGTAGTGTTCATTAAAAAAAACAAAGTAAACATTACCCGACCTTGCTGGTATTTACTGCCATTGGTAAATCTAAGTTTTCGTGGACTAAATTAGCTTGTTGTTTGAAAAACCCATGATTATTCATTTCAGTAATGAACTACATTTCTTTACAGTTATTGAAGAGGAGCTGGCATCACCCGATGAATACTTACCGTGAAACGGACATTCTGACCTGGAAGTCTGAAAGAGAGAACGATTCCAAAACCATAACCGCGAATATTTGGCAGCATTCAATTTTCAATTATTTCAACTGGGAAGACAGACAGACGACTTAGACTTGACTTTCGTAATATCAAAACAGTGAAAACGACTTCATAATGCCAGTGGAATCATTCCTCATGTTCAGAGTACTATAATTGGAGTTATTTCTTTAAAGCTTTATTGCAAGATTCACTCTTATCCACTTTTCTATCCTCTGGTATGCTTCCTGAGCACTGCTTCGGCTTCTAGTTGGCCCAAATGATTGCTTTCTTCAGTATCCTTTAGCACAGCTTCATCTCTGCTAATCTAAAAAAAAGACTGCGATAAAAATGCTATTTATCTTCTTGATGCAAGTCTCAGTTGTAAGGTGGTAGAACGATACACACCTAGTGAATCTTCATTGTGTCTTGCCCGTCTTTAGCAAAATGAATTAGTCTGTATTACAACGCACATGCACTGGAACAGTTTTTCTTTTAGCAAGGTGTGTAGGAATTTGCAACTTCTGTCTGTTGCAAAAATACAGAATATGGCAAGCTTCACAGCATGGAAACGTCCCTTATACATAGTCAACAATGTCAGTATAAAACGTACGTATTGAAACGGTGGTAAAATCTTGAGGGATGTGATCCAGCCTATGCAAAAAAAAAACATACATGTATTAAGAAAAAACATATCTGAAAAAAGGCTGGTTCCAAACTGTTGAACATATAAAATAATTAAAATCATGAACCTATTCCACGCAACATTTGTCAATATTGGTCCAATTTCTACCCCAAGGCTTCTAAACAACAAACAACATGACAATGGCCTTGCTATCCTTCTTCAAGTCTCTCTATTTATTTGCCACGTTGTTTGGTTCATATCGCCCTAAACAGAAAACAACCGACATTCAATTTAAAGCGGTTTGATGCGTGGAATAATTATGTTAATTGACATTCATAGAAAAATATTATATTCCTTAATTAGCTGTGGTGTTTAATGCTGCTTATGGGGCAATGGTTTTGACTTTATTATTACGTTAATCGGAATAGTGTTACGCAAGTCAATTTGAAGAAAAGTACACATTAGTTATGCAATTGTTGAACGGGCTAAATCAACGAAAATGGTACAAATTCTTCATCAGAAAATCTGGATTATTATTACGAGAATAATAATTTGCCGTTGTGTCAAACATATTAAAAAATCATCAGAAAAAAACGTCCTTCGTTTTGAAATCTTTGGTTTACATGGAAATGATAATGACAATTTTAAAATGTAAAACTAATGTCCAATAAAACAATATTTATGATATACTTGGTGAATCAAAGCACCCTTGATAAAAAGACAACCAGAAAGCGAGTTTATAATCTTGTGACCCAGTCCCCTTTAAAAACACGTCAGGACGAATTAAGTTTGGAGAAGTCAATCAATATGAGGCGCTGTTTAAATATTACATATTTACTTTATGCCAATGAAACATCAGTTATCTTGCCCAATAAACCAAACGAAGAGTCATAATATTAAAAATATATCTGATAATATTTATCTTCCAAATATAAATTGCTATATTAGTTAAGCCACTTAGATCGATAATACATTATAATACGTAACGCTTAATGCTAGATGCTTTGCGCATTGGTGAAATAGTTTAATCGGTATTCATAAGGTATATGACTTGAATTAAACATCATATTTACTTTGTTTTCATGGTGAAGAAAGCTTCTTGTATTGCTAAATAAGGTTTAATCGATTAAACCACAATTAAAATGAAAGTGTAGTTTTAAATTCAAAGAAATAATACAACCAAAGATGAAAGATCAAAAGAGGATTTTGTTGTTTAAAGCAATCTTGAATATGGCTTGAAATGTGTGTATGACAAGTATCTTACTCGTCTTAAAATTCTGGCCCTTTAATCAAATAAGACTACTTGAAGCATTCTTCATCTTCGAACTTAGAGATTTTAAGATTCCCGTTAAGACGGTTGTGTTGTGGTGATGAAGACAGCAGTTTTAGTTTGAGCGCTTACACGATTACAAGAGTGATTATATGTATACGATGATGTGACAATGTAAACATGCTGATGAGTCAGTTTACCTTTGTACACCTTACAACACTTCAAAGGTGCATCGTGCATGCATAATGCAATTTCGATGTATAAGATACAACCAAAGGCATGCAGTATGCAATGTATAGAACAGAAGGAAAGGTTTTTTTTAGTAAAGATAATCATTGTAAACATCTCTGATATTTCAACTGGAAACTGCAATCTAAATCAGTCACAGCGAACCCGTATAGACAATAAATCGTAAACTACATTGATTGTGTTTTTGTTTTGTTTTCTTTGTCAATGATTATTTTATTTCTCTATGTTAGTGATATGTTAGATATGTTCACTGCTCGACACAGTGAATTGATGAATAAAGACTTCAATCGAATATTATAGCCACACAGATCACGCCAAATACATATTTACACACGATAAACTATGTATATGTCAAAGGTGCAGACATCTAGCCATTATTCAAGTAACTATTTTGTATTAGTAGTTCATTGTAGTAGTAAAATGATCACAGTGTAATGATTCATCTTTAGGTGATCTTTCATTCCAAATTAACGTGTAAGGTGTCCCAACATTACCATTTTATCTGCCATTGTAACCATTGAATTATGGTACGTGTTCGGTTGGCGTAGATTTGAGCTTGGATACTGGTACCGACTAGTACTGTGCGTTTGCTGTAGTACACATTACCGCCACATAACTGCAATAGTTTCCGTTCAGCGTTAGTGGGCGTCACAAAAAAATCGAGCTGACATACTAAAAGAAGCGAAAATATACAGAATCTTTAAGCAAAGAAATATTTGATATAAGCAAAAAAATATGTGATACAACACATTAATGTCCACATAGTTTTATTAAGAGGAGCATGTACATACAGATGCAATGACAACCATTCTTACCTCACCCTGAATAACCACTATTATCTTTCCTCATGTAACCACCTTTTGTCTCGTTCCCATTGAAAGTTACAACATTGCACTAAAGCTTTTGTCTCCAAAAAGATCAAGGGAGCATTAGTACGGGCATTTAAAAACTGGGGAACTTTACTTAAAACAGGTAAAGTTTACTACTAACATTGAAAGTATCTTGTAGTATAGTCGGTATAACCACCTTTCTGCGTAACAAGCCAGCTTAAAATAACAAACAACGGTTACGGAGGTTACAGTCATGACGGTAAACATTTTGTTCAGCAAGAGTGGCTATAAATTACATCGGACACTTTTTTCTTCTTCCCTTAGAAACCAAGAAAACTAGCAAAATGTCTTAAAACGAAATGCAATTCTATGGTAAAATATTACAATATTTATTCAAAAAGCTTACTAATAGATACATAAGGAACAATTTGTCACTTATTTATTCATTCATTATATGACTACTGAGCCAAATGAGCCAAATACAAGTAGGTAATAATGAGTGAATCTGTAGAATCTGTCCCTTCAAATCGTCGATGAAACTATACCAAGTACGGGTAGTTATGTGTGCATATGTAGCATTAGTTCTAATATGATAAGTTTAAGTAAGTAACCAAGGGCCAGTTGTATACTACGACCTCGAAACAATAATCATGTAAAACTCACTAAGCAAAAATACAAGTAGGTAAACATACATCCAGTTAAAGACTGAGTCTTAATTCGTTTATGACTGATCAAAATATTATACTATGTACACTTAGAAGTTAGTTACCATAAGTGCATTTCGTCACATAATTCTCCAATGACTAAGAAGACGTTACTAAGTATAAGTAAGAAACCACGGGTGCATTTCTAGATCCCAGCATGGATGACTGACAACCATAGCTTTATTTCCCGACTCTGAACCCTCACATGACCTTGGACTTCTTCCTTTGCACACGTAGGTAGCCATGTGTGCATTTTTAGACTCACTCCTCTCATATAACTCACGAGATCCTACAAAACAAAATGAGTATTTCTAGATGGATTGTAAAAGCTCATTGGCCTCCCAAATTTACAGAATCTTGTTTTGGTAATTTAGCAACTTTGTACTCTGTAGAGACCTTACTGTTAAAAATTCTTGTTAAAAGATTAAGTTAATGATTATTGGTGTATTTGTATACCCAGGTCTTTACTGAACTAAGGATACCTTAAGTACTAGTACAAGTGGAGTTTTAGAAAACTATAGTACACATGTACGTCCATCTTATTTTACATAAAAGTTTAAACCTGTTGCAGAACAAAATTATTTCTAGGAAATTAATATAAAAATTCTGGCCCGAAGTTACCTTTTAATTAATGTACAAGTCTCTATGTCATCTGAAGATCCCCCTGGAACTTAATGTTGGGGTAGCACTCCAAGTGATTTAAATATTACTCTTGCAAATGAAGGGATGTTCACAGTCACAGGCTTAGTCCGTCCACTGTCCTAGTGTGGTATCTCTGAAAACTGTCCTTTTAGTCTGTTGGAATATAGATTTATTTATCAAGATTAAAACAATGAAAAATACACTGCTAGCATGATAATCATTGCTTACATTGTTTATTACACATTCACGAACAAGAGTTACAAATGTAAACATTCGGACTGACAAAATTATACATTCTTCTCATTGATTATGAAAACAAGACAACTATTTCATTAACATTATGTTTATACCAGTTGATCATATTCTCCATCAAATTAACAGCCTTCTCTTAACAGAGAAGTCAATAATTGTACTTCTTAATGAATCATGCAAATGAGGTATTGATTTGAATAAATAATGTTTATTGAAGTCACTTTCAGTTAACTTCCAAATGTTGCAAGTATGAACTGCCTCACAGTTACCGCTATGACATTACAGCAATTTTCCATTAATCATTCAAATTAGCTATGCATTTGCATAATCTATATATTCTGATGTACGTCCAATTCCCAATTATATGTATCACAAGTTCCACAGGCTTATTATTGAATACGGCAGATTTGTAGAAATTCCTGATTATTATGCAAATTAGTATCTGGTTTGCATAATTGTTTGTTTGCATATCAAATTATGTTAAGTATCACTTAAGCTACGTACGTACTGAAAATCATAGCAATCCCTCAGCCGGTTCTTGAGTTATCCATGAAGATTTTGTAAGAAACC